CGCGGACGGGGCCCAGCTGCCGCAGGGCGGGACGTGGCCGGAGGCGTTGCCGCCCATTCGCGAGCAGCCCGGGGAGGTGGGCGACGGGGACGACGAAGAGGAGGAGGAGGAGGACGACGAGGATGAAGAGGAAGAAGACGAGGACGAAGAAGAGGAGGAGGAGGAGCCCGATGGGAGGAGGCTGTCGCCCGCCGGGGAGGCCCGCGACGCTCGGCCCGGGTCACGGGATTCCTCCGCGTCCCCAGCTTCCAATCGCGGTAAGACGAGCCTTTCAGGCGCCATCTAAATCTATTACAAATGATTCATAGCTCCAAATTCAGTAAGAAATTTTTCATTCGAATTCTAAGACAAACCCAAAGACATTCTTATTATACAAAATTTGAGTAAACTTAGGTAAAATAATTTTATATAATTAAATATTTTAAATAAGTAATTAACAAAATTTTGGATGGCCCAGATCCTACCGGCAGTAGAGACACAGCGATCTCGGTCCGAAGAATCAAGGGTTCGAGTCCCGCGTAGGGCATGGTTGTACTTGTGTTCGCCCTCATCATTACCACCCCCTATCATTATCATAGCATGTCATCTTCACAGTAACCACAACGTTAAATCCAACAGTGGCCGTTATTGATCTAGATGTTGATTCGACCTTAAATAACAAAAAATAAACGAATAATTTTCACACCATACCAACTGTCATGTTTTGCTATTATCTTTTTCACATTCAGGAGAACTTTCCCCCTCCCCGCAGGTCTTGCGTTTCATGTATTGATTTGATGACTACAAGAGTGTAAACAGTTAAATGATCATCATACGACTGGTTCTCTATGGACATTTTCTTGTCGCTTGGTCGAAAACCGTCCCATTTCGTCCTAAAGCCTGATAAATATATTGAGAACACTCTGAAATTAAGGCTAATATCTTTTAGAATTTTCAAAATGCATAATATCTTGTGAACATCGAAATATTTCTGAGCAACCATAGAATATTCAAATAAAACAACTTGTTTGTTTGATTCTATTGTTTTAAATGATAAATCGGAGGTGCAAAAACGTTGATCAACAATTCATTAATTGGTATAATCCAAGAATCCGCGATTAGTATATTTCAAAAGTTTTTTTCTGTTCAAACAATGGAGCAAAAAAACATTTTCACCACGTTTTTTTCACTCACAGTAAACGTATTTATCTTTTTACTGAGCCTCTTTTATTTACTGCGTTCTAATGACTCTGAATTTGATTATATCGTTTGTTTGAAGTTAATTTTTTGAACTATTTCTTGTAGTATTTAATGTTTCATACATGAAACATTTATATAATGATGTTCGCAGAAAGTTAAGTTTATAGAAAGTTTTATAGGCTATATGCTTTTTATTTAACTGAAGACATCAGTGTCAACTTCGGTACTTACTGGGGTAGTTACAAAGGAAAACACAACCTTTATTTTGTATATTGGACATGTTATTCTGTCAAAGAATAAACATACCGTGCAAACATTGAAAAATATTAACGTTGGAAAAAATGTTTTGTTCATTTATGATGAAAGGGGTTTGTTCATTTATGATGAAAATGTTTGGTTTACCATGGATGAAAATATTCCAAAATGAGCTTGCGCAAATTGCTTGTGCAAAATGCGCCTCATGCAACTTACTCTTATATTAACTCTGAATCAAGAAGAGAAAGGCTTTACAGAAATTTTTTTCTATCATGTGAGACAGCTAGCGTTATTATGAAAGCGTAGAAGTTTACAATGAATGCATTGTAACAAGTTGCTAGAGATCTTATTTCGTGTAATTAAACAACAATAGAAAAAATGCATGCGGTAAAATCTTGTTTCAGCAAACAAGAGAGTAATATTTTATGAAGTTAAATATGAATACTCTGGAACTATTAACCAGCTACCTTCGTTTGTTTGTGCCACAAGATAATTGTTTTCGAAACCGAATGTATGTAAGACTAATATTCTCCGTGTTAAAGAAATACACCATTTTTGATCGTAACAAATCTCAGTTATGTGATTGAAATTTGTCAACTCAACTAGCGTCCCGATTAATCTGTTTGGGAAATCTCCGAAACACTAGCCCGTCGTTCGCAAACTGTTGTCATTCACTCTTTCCGTGATCATGCAGCCTTGTTAAGTCAATATCGGTAACAAATCAAGTATAGTTGGAATGGAAAAATCTTGTTTACTTGAATTTTACGGTGTTGAAAATGGGTGTTATCCGATCTTCCCTATCCCACTTTCTAAGTTTGAGTACATTCACATCAGAACATGCAGCTGGCACTGCAAAACACAATGACAACGTTATTTATAAATTGCAATGATGGCATGCATTACTTGTTGCCGTGGATATTATTCTCCAATACGTAAGAAAGTTACCGATACTGTGTGTATAATTAAAACTTACGCTTTTCGTAATTGTACTACTCTCCCGAACGCCACATACAGTTTAAAACTTTTTGATGTTAAATAAATGAATTAAATCGAAATATTTCGTTCCGAATATTTTCTTTGGATACAGTTTTGGCCTCTTGTGTGCCTTCGTTCAGTACTTGTTGTGAACACGTGTCAGTGAATTCATCTGTAGTTGTTTGGTTCTGCTTATTGTTATTGTAAATGTTTATTGTTGTCATAAACGTTTGTTATATGATTTTTAAATATTTAATTTGTAGTTGCTTCAACAACCATATGATTCTTAGTAACTTTCACGAGGTAAATTACATTTGTGGCACTGCAAGAATTGTACTTTATAATACTCTCTATACAAAGTAATTGTTGTACTGTAGAATTTGTTACCCTCAAATACGCATTAATAAATTTAGATTTATTTCGTCGTAAAACAATACAAACTGAATGTGACGTATAGGGGAGTAGATCTGCACACGTTTACTTGAGTACCAGAATCCCTTACTATCATTTTAACTATAAATAGTTGAAGGATGAGTAATAGTTAAAAAGCAAAAAGAAAAAAAGAATATATGAAGAAGCGCGAGATTAGCAACATTTGAAAAACTAGACATTTTCGTTCCCGAGTAATAGAAAACGTATTTGCAATGGTAAACGAATTGCAGATATGGTTTTTCTGCATTGCTAACGAAATAGTAATTCGCTCTTACCTCTACTCCTACCTGTACAAACAAAAGAAGAGTTCAACAAAACGTGCACGGTATGAAGCTGCATTTATATCTATATTGATTTACATTAATGAGTTTATAACATTAAAATTTTTAAAGTAATGTGAGTTAGTATGTTTTCATAACTAGACCATTCTTTTTTGTGGGATTTTTCAAAAGGGAAGGGTTATAAGTGTTGTTTCTAGCTGACTTGGTATTGTCATAAAGAATTTTTCACTTATCTGAATTTAAAATTTATTGTCTAGTGGCTGCCATGTTGTCTTCAGTGCTTTATATTGTACATTTTAAAAAACGTTCCCTACAAATTTCACAAATTTATAATAGTTTGCTTCAAACACGCCCATTAACGACCGCATTCGAACAGGCAAACAGCTACTATTTTTATTCGGTCGTCATGTCATCGATGTGATCATCATGAATTGAAAAACTACACTCGTATTGAATCGAATAAATCAAATCTGCGAGCATTTGTTAAATTTATTATTTGGATTTTCGCATATTGTATCTTAAACATCTTAAAATCATTTTTCGTCGAAATAGTTTGGTTATTAATTAAAACAAAACGAGTCAATGTAAATATTTTCTTAACTTAAACATTAGATTGTGGAACTTTCAACTCCTTAATTTCAGTACCTTAAAGAATACCGATTGTGGAAGATTCAACTCTTTAAAGAATAGCGATTAAATCGGTGATCTTGGTGTTCACAAAGTGCATTCAAAGAGCAGCTACTGATGTAGCGTGTTCCGCATCTTGTATGATGATGTCCTCTGTGTCGGAGAAAGGCGAACTGCATTCTGCTTATGCAGAGTGAAGAAACTCCGGTGGTGGAACTCCGTACCAAGCGGCTAGCGGTCTGGAGGAGCGACAGAGCGTTTCTTGAATACATTATTTCTCCTGAAGACAGGTTTACGGGGCTTGGTCAGTGGGAGCAACAATTTTAACACATGGTGGTTTGCCAACGTTTCGGAAAATGTATTTCCATTACCAGGGTTTGCCACGACCAGAAAAGTATACACAAACAAATAATCAGCTACATTTTCTCGAAGGTGGAACACCTCATAGGAAGCTAGAAACATACGTAAATCTTCACCACAGTAACACACACCATGATTGGTGGTAGAGTGTTGGTAATGTTGTGGGTTACTAATGGGAGTTATTTCTCCCGAAACCCTACCTTTGCAATATTTAAATACTTGAGCGTAAATGAATGTAATAATACATTAAATGTTTTATGGAAATAACAACTGTTTTCTGGTCAATTACAATTTTAACTACAATATATTTATTTAAAGCAAAAGGATTATTAAATTGCCCATTTTCGGAAAACGTCTGCAGTTCCTTAACTCTGTAAATTCAGTTCAAAAGTGATTTCTAATGCCAATATTAGGGTTATTTTGTCATCTTCAATCTTATGGAATATTGATCTCTTCCCCGGGGATGACATTTATGAGTTGGAATGTAGGAAGCTTATCCAGCTTTAGCAGCATTCCAGTCTGGGCTAAGAGGGATTATGGGAAGTTGGGTTGAATAGTTCTGAGCTGGCATTTGAATGAAAGAGATCGAAGAAATATCGGTAACCAACGTTCAGACCGTTCTGCTTACTTGGTCTAGAAAGATGCCACAAACTCGATGCTGTTCAATCATCAAGGAAACTTTTGGCAATCGTTCGAGGCCGAACCCTTGACCTTCTAGTCATCTCTCAATGACTAAGTGGTTGCCTTAACCGCCGTAGCTACCAATGCTCTCGACAACCTTTTAAATACGGTACTGCTATGCGAATTTTCTCGTCTCAATCCCCCGAAGACCGCACATTCATTTCTTGGACGAGTCCCGGAAAGTGTGGTTATAACTAGGAGATACTGATACTTGAAACACTGTCACTGAAAGAGTGTTCGAAGTAGCGAAGACCTCCATGGATTAATATGGTTCACCAAGAATTTCATAGTCTGAAATGAGGCAGATTTACCCTGTCTTCTCCATGGTCCCTCCGAGAAATTATAACTGAACAGTAAATTAGTTAAGTTCATCCCAATTGTCGTCTCTCGTTAATTCGTCTAGTTAATTTTACTAACAAACACATTCATTAAATAAGTAATTAGTTGAAAGCTAATTGATGACTGAA